TTTTATTTGAAACTTCGTTTATTTAGAATATATTTTCGTTACCAATAAAATAAAAATCTCTCAGTCAATCAGAAACCCGGATTCATGCCTTTGAGGAAGGTCCCGTTTGAACGCTCACATCGGTTTTTTTTCGTTTGGGGGAAAACTAAAACTGGTCGCAATTTTCGAATAAGAATGAGTCGGCAATTTTTAGTGGAGTCGAAAATTTGGAGGTAAATAAAACACCGAAACCCGGCAAATAAATAGGCGAGCGAATTTTTAGAGGGGTCGAAATTTTGGAGTTTTCACGGTGCTAATTATTCCATTTCAATGAAACTTAGTACAAAGATGCTCTAGGACAATGTACAAACCTAATTAGTTTGGGGTAAAAATCTGTTCATATTAATTCCCTAATAAGCATAATAATTCATAATTTTTTGGTTCTAATCACATTTCAATTAAACTTGGAGACATAGATTTTCTGTTACATTGCGCAGACCTCATTAGTTTTACACTCAAATCTGGTCATATTAATTTTCTGATTTGCATAATTAGTTTTCAGCTAAGTAATTTCGAATTATATTTAATGTGTCTCCAATACTCTCAGCACATGGGAGTTCTTTCTAAGCTTTCTTTGATTTTAACAATGTTATCGATACGGGGTCTCCAACAAAGTGTTGAGTCAAGCGTGACACCTAAATAAACAGCTGACGACACCATTCTTAATGACAAATCATCAATTGACAATACGCCCTCAATAGTTGTTTTTCTTTGAGCTATCTGAAAAATCATGAAATTTGTTTTGTCAATGTTTATAGTTAATTTATTTGATTTACACCAGGTAGCAAGTTTATTTCATTCAATATTGAGTGTTGTGAAGGTTTACAGAACGGTCTTTTACGGAATAAAATAGACTGGTGTCATCAGCAAATAGTCTGAATGAAAAAAGGGGGATGATCTAGAAATGTCATTAATATAAACTAAAAAAAGAAGAGGGCCTACGATTGACCCTTGTGGTACCCCTGTGGAAATAGTTTCACAGTCAGAATCATCATTTTTAATAATGACATATTGTTGCCGACCGTCCAAAAAAGTTTTAAACCAGTTCAAAGTTGACCCTCTAATCCCATATTGTTGTAGCTTAGCTAGCAAAATACTGTGATCAATGGTATCGAAAGCTTTTCTCAAGTTTATAAAAGCACCAAGTGTGACAAAACCTTCATCAATTCTTTTTGAGATTTCAGCTGTGAGATCAGCTAAAGCGAGCTATATTGCTTTCGGAACCCGTACTGATTTTCTGAAAGAATTTTAAATTTGTCCATAAAGGCACACAACTGTTTATTGCGAATGATTCGAATAGTTTGCTGAGACAGGTAAAACGGAGATCGGCTGTAGTTTCCAACTTCATAAGCACACCCTTTCTTGAAAATGGGAGTCACCCGTGCTTTTTTCAGTTTGTCAGGGAATACGCCTTTCGACAAGGAACAATTTATAATATAGGCGATTGGTTCGGCAATATATTCAGCAGCCACTTTCACAAGTTGTGGGTGAATACCGTCATAACCAATGGATTTACGAATGTCAAATTTGTCAATTTCATTTAAGACATCGTGTGCACAGACAGGGCGAATGAAAAATGACTCTGATTGTCTGTTGCCAAGGTAGTCATTAAAATTGGTGTTACAGGTAATCTCCGAAGCAAGCTTTG